AAGTCAAAGACGGTCTCTGCTAAACGGCTATTAATTTCTTTGACTTGTGAATACTGTTTTTGGTGGACTGCGAACTGTGATTTGCATTCTTTTTTGCCGATTAATGCACACTTTTTATTCTATATTTCTTTGACAAAAAAAATTTATGAAATGAATTATTATTGGTATGAGAAAAAAAATCAGCGATATTATGATGAGTGATAATTGCTATCGATTACGCATCATTGTCTGCTTTCAGTTCACAGAAAATTCGGCCCGGGAGGCTTTGCGAAAATTCTACACTGGTTATTTTCCGCTAAAGTTTATACAGTATCAGTGTGCTTTGAAGCAGGAGTGGTGGAATCAGATTTTTGGCCTTCCGTCGCACCCGATGGAGGCTTAGATTCGGTATGAGTTACATTTGTCTGCTCAGAACTCGTTACGTTCGTTGATTCCAAAGGCTTCTCTGTAGAGCCTACGTGTTCCATTGTATCATTTTTCGGGCTCTCCGTTGGATCGGTTGCTTCTCCACCCTTTTCAGCTACATCTTCACTGGCTTGTAGCATCTAAAAAGTTAATTTATTTTATGAGTTGGCAATCCTATATTTGTAGAGCGCTTAGTCTGTGCTGACTTCTAACTGGAAAATGCCAACAGATTTTGTTGCAGCACGCTTGCCACAAGGTGAAGCATGTTTTCTAAAATGCTCCAGTCGATTCAGATGCTAACAGACGAAAAACCAGCACAGGTTCATTTATTTCTAAGCTACATCACCAATATTAACCATACTGTTTTAAAGCAAAATCTACTTTGGTAAAGGGGTACACCTCTTTTAGGGGCGCACCTCGATTCTCACGCCTTTGCTCAGAATTTTGCTTACGACCAGCGTCAATGCGCCAAATTTTCCATATATCTTTCAATCATTACAGTTTCAAAAAAAACCTTTATTGTCCTGAAAATTTATATGCTAATTTTATGACGAGAAAGAAATTTTTGGTACGCTGGCTCAACAAGCAGCTTTTTTTTGTGTCACAGGATGTGGTACACACCAGTAGATCGATGTCAGCTTATGTTTTTTGCTCATCTTCATAAGCAGAATTCAGTTTCGCCCATAAAAGTGCGAACTTGAATAAATGCAAATTCGGATCAAGTTTGTAAATTTTGCCATTACTTGTAAAATGCAAATCTGAATACAAAACGCTTATACGGAACTAAGCCTACAGACCTAAGCCTTTTTTAACCAAAGCTTCAGATTCTGACTGGTCCGATCAGGGAAACTGGGAACGAGTGACAAACAAACGAACGCATAAGCATGCACAGAGGACTTTGTCAATATGCCAAACTTACTAGGAAAAGAGTTGTAAGCAAGAAGATCCGCGTCAGCATGATGTCGCTACTACCTGAAATCACGCTTATGACTTGAAAAAGGTTGCTTTTGAAAATCCAAAATTGATGGGGTTACTAGTGTGCTGATTAGAGGGCTCAGGAGAATGGAAAAGTGACCCAGTGAAGTGCCTTCTCCTTCCCCCTCCTCGTTC